GCTGAAGGCAGATGCTTAACTGAGCCACCAAGGCACCCTGAAGATTTTATTATTTTTTTAAAAGATTTTATTTATTTATTTGACACAGAGAGAGATCACAAGTAGGCAGAGAGGCAGGCAGAGAGAGAGGAGGAAGCAGGCTCCCCACCGAGCAGAGGGCCAGATGCAGGGCTCGATCCCAGGACCCTGAGATCATGACCTGAGCTGAAGGCAGAGGATTAACCCACTGAGGCACCCAGGTGCCCTAAAGATTTTATAAGTAATCTCTACATCTGACATGGGGCTCAAACTCACAGTCCTGAGATCAAGAGTCGAATGATCCACTGAGCCAGCCAGGCGCCCCTGTGGTCTTCCTAAAGGACTTCTATGTTAGACTTTAAAGCAAGAAATGGGGGGGCGCCTGGGTGGCTCAGTGGGTTAAAGCCTTTGCCTTCGGCTCGGGTCGTGGTCTCGGGGTCTTGGGATCGAGCCCCACATTGGGCTCTCTTCTCAGCGGGGAGCCTACTTGCCCCTCTATCTCTGCCTGCCTCTCTGCCTACTTGTCATCTCTGTCAAATAAATAAATAAAATCTTAAAAAAAAAAAAGCAAGAAATGTTTTTGTTTGTTTTTAAGTAAGCTGAACGCTCAGCATGGAGCCCAACTCAGGGGCGATGGGGGACAGTTGAGCTCACAACCGTGAGATCAAGACCCGAGCTGAGATCGAAAGTTGGATGTTCAATTGACTGAGCCACCCAGGCTGAATCTACTGAAATTTGGACTGTGTTTTAATACTTTTTTTAAAAAGTGAGAATATAATTAGAATTTTATTTAAGATTGCATGCTTAAGTGATCTCTACACCCAACTTGGGGCTCAAACTCAATCCTGAGACCAAGAGTCCTATGCTCCACTGACAGAGCCAACCAGGCACCCCCAAGAGGATAATTAGGATTTCATTTTTTTATTTTTAAAAAGATTTTATTTATTTCAGAGAGCGATCCAGCAAGAGAGCCTGAGCTGGAGGAGCAGCAGGATCCCTGCTGATCAGGGAGCCTGATACAGGGCTCGATCCCAGGATCCCAGGATCATGACCTGAGGCTGAAGGCAGATGCTTAACCGACTGAGCCACCCAGGCAGCCCTAATTAGGATTTTAATCTAGGATTCCCATTTATTGACTTTATCTCAATGACTACCTACCTCTTTTCTTAAAATTTCTAATATTACTTATTATTGTTTTATGCTGGTGAATTGTTTAAAAACAAAACTCTGATTTGTAGTTTGCTGACCTCGATGGTAAACACTCCCAGCACGGCCATCTTCCAGTTACCAGTGACTTAACAGCCAGCTTGTGTTGAGTTTCAGCTTTTGTCTAAATTTACTTAATAATTTCATGCTCTTTTTTAGTGAAATGCTTTTTTTCTTTTTTCTTTTTTAAGATTTTATTTATTTATTTGACAGACAGATCACAAGTAGGCAGAGAGGCAGAGAGAGAGGAGGAAGCAGGCTCCCTGTTGAGCAGAGAGCCCGATGTGGGGCTTGATCCCAGGACTCTGGGATCATGACCTGAGCCGAAGGCAGAGGCTTTAACCCACTGAGCCACCCAGGCGCCCCAATGCTTTTTTTCTCTTAACATTCATACATACTTGAAGTCTTTTATCAGGCCATTCCTTACAAGTAGTTTTATCTGGAGTGAATTTGATGTTTGTACTCTTTCTTAGCATAGATTTCTTCCCCCTGACAATCCACGGGTGGGTGTAGCAGTTGGCTCCATCCAGCTCCTGCCCTTTGGCTTTTATTCTAGAACAGGTCTGCTGACATTTAGTAGTCTGCGGATCTCACAGAGCAGGCAGAGTCAACAGGATCATGTCAATTGCCTGTTCTAACAGGGGGTGAGTGGTCCAAGTCCTCCCACCTGCTTCATGGGTCTGGGTCTTAATGAAAGTCTCACCTCCAGCCAGTGCACAGCTCAAGTTCCAGTCCGGCCCCTTCCCAGCAGCGAGCCTGGCTTTGGTTCTGGTCCTGTACGCAATGCTTCCCGTGGCCTCCACTCCGTAAGACAGAACAGCCGGTAGTTACTCTGTTTCTGGACTGAAGCCCAGCGAATTTTTGGCTTCAGCCCTGGCTCACCACTTGCATTTTTACCCTATTGCGGGTGTACAGAAATACTGATCTTGTTTTGGGGTCAGGCAGGGTGTTTTCTGGTTTTGACCTTTTTGTATCACTGTTGTGTTGGGGTCATAGTAGGTATCACTTGAACTGGAGCGCTGGTGCCCCGCCTGGCCTCCTCCATCTTCTTGTCTCCCATGAGGACCTCTTTCCCCCTCCTCTTGTCCCCTCTCTGGAATCTGGCTCCCCTTCTTGCGCACCTCTCTCTTCCAAGCCGCTCTCCCACCTCCAGCTTGTACCCACCTCTCAGTACTCGCAGCTACTCTCCTGCACTGGTGGCACCTGCAGGGACACCCAGCCCTTCATTCCCTCACAGCCGTTCCCGGTGGACCCTTTGTATTCTCATGCCCTGGGGCATGGGCTCCAGCCCACACCCACAGCTCTGCCATCCACTCACTCTCGGGACAACCATAATAATCACTTGCTGCAAATAAACAGGGAAAAACATTTAAAGATCTACAAGAATTTAGATTTACTCCCCAACAGTTGCCACCACAGGAAACATGAGTAAATAATTTATAATACTGGGATGAGTACAGGATAAATTGGGGTTTATGACACAGGGATGAGGAAAACTTTTCTAGCCATGGCATAAATCCAGACTTCTTAAAAATGAAATCTGAGTAACATTAAACTTTTGTGTAATGTTATGAAAATTGAGTTTATAAAGACAAATGAGGAAAACATCCACCACTCAAGATAAAGTCCAATTTCCTTAAAATAGCGGTGGCTTAAAATCATTAAGGACTGACAATTCAATAGTAAAGTGATGAGGCAAGAATGGGTAGTACCCCAAAAGGCCAAAATACGAATATCCAATAAACTGAAAAAGTTTGCCAAAGCGCACTAAATACAGAATGCAATGATGTCATTTATTTTTGCTACTCGAACTGGCAAATTTGTAAAAATTGACAATAGAGAGGATTGGCCAGCAGGAAAGAAAATAGGTACTTTTGTTATCACTACAATAATGTAAATTGGTAAAAACTTTCTGGTAGGGTAAATTGGGAATGGATTAAAATCGTCCTTAAGTCTCCACTCTCTGACCCAGCACCAGGACTTCCAGGAACAGATCCTACAGCGACTTTCACAGGGCAGAGGTGAGTGAGGCTGCGGGCCGTGGCACCGTGGCCACCTCCCGCGCCTGTCACTAGAGAAGCCAAGAACGCAATGCATATGCCTGTGTGCTGGACATGACACATGTCCAAGATAACGCTACTGAGTGAAAAGGCGCGGTGCACTAGAGCCTGAGTAGGATGTTCACATTTTTGTAAAAACGTCGATATGTAAACAGAAGGAAATATTATCGAATGTTCATCAAAATGCCAGCAAAGGTGATTCCAGAGAGGTGGGGAGAGACAGCACCTGCTCCTTATGTATGTATATACACATACACACACACACACCTTTTTTAATGAGCATATATTAGTCTAATTAGCAGAAAAATACAAATAAAAATGAATCATGATTAGTAAAGCCTTTCATAATTACCTTAAAATTTCTGAACATAATGAATGATGGGTATAGCTTGAATTTATCTGTCCTTATGCATATGGATGACCTCTGAGTTAAAGTAGCCAACAGGTCCACTATTACAGATAGAGAGCACTATCAGAGTTTCCACTTGGTCCTAACTTCCTTTCCAAATGCTGCTGCTCACCTCCAGGCACAGTGTGACACCCCATGGATAAGACCCGACTCACTTGGCCAGGTGTGTGTCAGAAACTCACCTGGTGTCTCCTGGGTGCCATGACCGATTACCAGTGTCTGAGCAGACACAACAACAGCAGGAACAGGAAGGCCTAGATTCCAAAAGGGTTCATCTACCCTTGCCAGACCAATCCCTCTGAAGATTCACTGACTTCTGTGTTTCTCTCCAAATTGGGAGATTTACAAAATTACCCAAGATGCTCACCCAAAGAGAAATGGACGTCCTCTGGCACAGGGAACAGTAAAAGGGATCAGCTGAAACATCACTGGATTTAGAAGGAAGATGGCCCCAAGGGCAGGAGACATTGGCAGCAGGTCTCCAGGAAGGGACTGAGAAGGGGGGAAGCTCACGGGTCTCTCCGTTGCTGCTCCTGACACTCCATCCGTGCAGCAGGGCCCACACACCTGTGCTGTGAGGTCTCTCTCGCACTCTACATCTACCATTTCTGCAGGGGCGGGAGACGGGTCCTATCTCCCCACCGACAAAATAAGCAGGGATTCCTAGGCTCCGCGATTATCCATAGCGACCAGATTATTATAAAGATGGGGAAAAACCATGGCTTAAAAGGGGGGAGGGGCAGGGGGAGGACTACTTTTTCCAAAATGCAAAATTTTCCTTTCTACCTTCCCCCATCATTTGCACAATTTTTGTCGAGTCCAAACGTAATTTAAAATGAGGTAGGTAGTTTCTCTCTCCTCTGCTTTTGTCTTTGTGGTGACTGTCGAGGCCTGTGCCGTG